TGGTCCAGTCATGTTGCAGTTTGCTTGGTGCGTGTTTCGTACTGTTTGGGACTCGTCAGCTAAATGTAGCTGCGCCTCAGTGAGTTATGTTGTTCCCACTGAGACTCAAACCTGTTTTATTGATGCTGTAAGTAACAGCCTAGACTTATTTCTTTTCTAAGACGACCCATGAAAACTTTTAGATATTCAAACTAATAAGACATATGATGGTTTTAAAAAATTCAGTGTTGAAATAATACCAATTTGGTTTCACTTCTCTACCCAAAAATATCTCACTGAGACAGTTTATGCACGTATTAGAGTGGGAGACTACCTAGTAATTGTAGTAATTAAACAAAAGTATGGAGGACTAGTGAAGGCAAATAAATATTTTTAAGAAGCGTACTTCAAGAGGCGATATAACATTGTTGGTTAAAAATATACCCTTTGCTTTTGCTGATATTTTTATGCTACTTGCAAGTAGTCAAAATTAAATCATAGCATTTCTGAACTACGAACAACATATATTCACGTATAATAGCCGTAGTTAGGATGCGGATACATCCAGCTGACAAGATGTAAACAGGATAAGCTGTATGTTCTGCCAACCACCAATAGTCAAATAACATACCCGTACATTAGTTGTCTGATGGATGAATATGGGTGAAATGTGGTCCTGCATTGCTATTAAACTATGTACGACAAGTTGTTATCAGAACACTTCTCCAGCTAAGGAATAAAATCATACCAAACAAAACTGCAACGCTTAGGGTAGAACAGAGGTAGGATGTTCTTTTCACGTATGGTCATCAACTGACTGCCTACAAACCGTAAAGTGATTGTTTGCTATCTAAAGAGCATATAATAAGTAACTGATCTTCGAACACATCTCTGTATGAGAGTCGTGGTTATTTCTCTTGACGCTGTGAAATCTTGATATTTTTGGAGCACTTATAGATATGACAAATGATCAGCCGGGCGACGGAATATTCGCCAGTACACAACACTGCTAAGTCAAGTCGGTCACCTAGTCTGACTGTGTTAAGCTGACCGGAGATAAAATTACAGTAACTTTAATTCATATAAGAGAATTATAGTATTGATGGAGTGACTAAACCGTTAGCGACTGTAAATATAATCTCAATCTAGAATTGTCCAATCAAATGTAGTATACTGGATATCTAGCACCCTATGAAGAGTTTAATTCTGTAAGTTTCCTGAAGAAATTAAATAACTACCTGTTATACGCTATACCACAGTTTGAATACTCAAGAAGTAGCCAACAGGAATGAAGACTTTTCCACTATGTAATGCAGTGCATCAATGCTACCAGACTGCTAAACAAAGGATATCTCAGCCCACTGATATGATGCTCTCTCTTTCTAATTCAACTCGATTAAGGTTGGAATGAGAATACCTGGTTGGACAACCAGCGTGATTAAGATGGACGAACCGTCAAATATCACTGATTCACACAACAGTCGGACAAATTCCCTCATGGATTGAAGTGGAGTTACTGCCCGGTTATCGTAGCTCACATAGTGGAGCACTAGGTCGTTAACCTGAAGGCTGCCAGTAAGAATTCTGCGACGACCCAGTTTTCCCTTTCATCTTCAACTATCACCCAGTATCAATAAATAACTGTAACAGTGGGAAACGTTCTATAGATGCATATAAATTCCACAGTAAAGTAATTTTAAACACATTGGCTGAATAGCTCAGTCAAGAGAAAGGATACTACAAGCAAGATATCGCAGGATATATTCTACAATATCATACCTGTTATACACGTTAGATTTAACTTAGAGAGCTGAAGCTTTCTTTTCTCATATCACGGTCTATAGATTTCATAAGTATTACTTAAACTGAATGAGGAAACATTAGATATAGATTTTATATATGTAAGTCGCAGCGTGTTTCAAATCAAATAATTCCAACGTTTCGCACGGAATTCTGGTCAAAGCTGTCGCACGGAATCTAATCAGTAGGTCTAACCGTCTTATTACGACGAAAGAGGATAAAGAAGACGAGTTAAAGTTAGTTTGCCGCACACACTGGAAGTAAACAATTATCCCAAAGGTTTCGCTAAACGTTTTAAAAAAATGAAATTAAGGACGTGTCGAAACTCCCTCCAAAAACTTAACAAGCACTGTCATAATCCCATACCGTAAGGAAACTTCAGAAAAAAATAAGAAGGATTCTCAACAAACATGACATAATGATGATGGGTAGTGAGTGGCTAGCAGTGGAATCCAGGATGCGCATTTTGACCTATTTGGGACTCGTCAGCTGCATGTACCTGCCTACCAGTTAGTGATGTTGTTCCCACCGGGACTCGGACTGCTGACGAGCCCCAAACAGGACGAAATGTGCATCCTGGATTCCGCTGCTAGACACTACTCATCATTACTATAAATAATTAAAACAGGCAATATCGAGGCATTCGCACAGGAGCCCATATGCCAACAGAGACTGGCCAATTCGGTCCAATCAACGACGGTGTAATACAAGCAATAACACCAAAACATGACATAAGTTTACTTTCATGTAACAAATACCCTAAAGTTATAACTTAATGAAAGTTAAATATGTAATACCTAAAGAGAATCAACAGAATTGCGTTTATGAAATCAAATGTGGAGATTGTACTGCAGTATATGTAGGGGAAACAGTCAGGCAGGTAAATGTAAGAGTCAATGAGCATAAACTATGCTTAAAGCAGATCCCAAAAACCTCAACAGAGGTTAAGAAACTAGAAAATAAATCAGCAGTCGCGCTACACTCCATCAAAATGGGACATAAAATTGACTTTGACGGAACTAAGGTTCTACAAAAAGGTTTTGGGTCATACAGGCGAAGCCCTACATATATGGGCGGAATCCAGACAGTTTGAACAGACGAGATGGAGTACAGTTAGCTGCTTCTTGGCAATTACTAATTATTCATCGTATGAGGTGTATTTTTACTTGTGTAATCCCGGCTTAGTATATTAGAACAAATAACAAAATAAACAAATATTCTGCGTTATTTTTTTATTGTTGTAATATACTACGCCGGGATTACACAAGTGAAAATACACCTTATACGATTAATCATACTAACTCGGTGCCCACGTTTTTTCAAACCATCCAGTCCATTGTTGGTCAGGATACCTTCAATTACTAATTAGTAAGCAGAAAGTGACTGAAGGTACTTACCGTCAACACTAGTCTCAACTTCATTATCTCTGCATCAACAACAACACGCAATCTGGATTGATTTGATTCATTATTACTATCATCACTACTTATTTTCTGGTAAATCAACGGAAAAATTCGTTAATACTATTCACTACTATATTTCAACTGAAACTCTATACATATCCGCCTCATCCATTCCGTTGTACTTATAAAGTTACCGAATGACTATAATGTCACCTGTGACATTTTTGTCTGATAGTTACAACCAAACCGAATATGAATTGGAGTACATAAATCCACACGACATACAATTTCACATCGAATGATTAGTTATCATAATTTGGAAAGACGATTACTATATGAAGAGGATTGGATAGGGAGATTAAATACACGTTTTTGGATTCATTTATATATCCTTGATATTTTAATTTGATTTCCCTGAAGAAGCTCGGACCAGACTTCCGTGCGAAACGTTGGGATTATTTGATTTGAAACACGCTGCGACTCACGCTTATACAGTCTATATCTAAACATCAACCTTTTACTCATCGCCCAATACTTGCCATACTGTACGATCAAATCTTGATCATAGTTTATATAAATGAATGAGGAGAGTTTGCACTTGCAAGATTTTTGATTTCACTCGAATAGATGACTTGATTGTGATAAAATACAAAACTATGAGACTGGTTACTCACCAGTAACCAATCAGTATACCTAATACAGTCCAACAGGTGGTCAGTCGTAGCCCCGAATAGCTCAGCAATGACACCGATTCAAATCCTTCAGGAAACATGAGTTCCTTCGAGGTTGCAACTGTGCCTTGCTCACGATTACTAGCAAATACGAAATCTAGGTTAAATAAACCTTCCTACCCATTGCCTCCACCCAACTAACATCCACCAAAGTACACTGCGATGGTGTCTCCTAACTCAAAGACTAAACTGCGAAATCCTCGACTAAATAACATGAAATTAGTTGCTCTTCAGTGACCAATCAATCTAGTATTCGAAGTAACCTATTTTTGCAGGGTAGGATGATCCAGTGATGACACTGTGGTTGATAATGAATTGTATGGAATAAATATTCTTCTGGAAGACAACTACGACCATATCATTTTCTCCATTCCCTCGCGTAATGTGTCGTTATCCAAATGATTTACACACAAATGATTTTATGTCGTTTAGGTTGGTACCAACGCTATTAAGGATTTGATCAGTGTGAGTTGGTTACCTATACCCTTAATTGCTCTAAACTGCATCTAATGATCACAAAATGTAAAAATGGGATTTCACTATTTATGATTCCTCTTCAGTTGTAAAGCTAGTAGTTAGGATGTTACATTGACCTTGGGGTCTAGAAGGGGAATCTGCGATGCACGTCTCATCCCGTTTGGGACTCACTAGCTAGATGTACCTGAACCCCAGCGGGTGCTGTTTCCATCGGGGCTAAAAACCCAGCACTCAAACACTAGAGCGCTATCCACTAAACCACTGGGACACGACAGCCACCTTTTGTGCAACGGTTATTAGTAATTGTTATGAAGCTTATAGTTTCCCGTGGCTATACAAGGCCAAATTGCTCAATCTCTGTAGTCAAAACTTTGAACAACTGGTAAGTTCTTTCTCTCCAGTGATGACGAATGTACCATGTACACAGCGGACCCAAAGCTTGATCATTAGTAAGATGACACCTTTCGTTCTGTGTATTGCCGCTTCTGCAATAAGCAAACACGTAGGTGACCCCATTCGGGTTCCCTTTGTTTGCCACTGGATTGCAAGTATGCTACATGGGGTAAAACGAAGAGTTATATCAAGCTTGAATATGATAATTTTTGCACTCCGAAAACATGGGTGTGTCTTTAATCAGCTCTGGTTCAGTTTAAAGTGCACTAACCAATAACTTGTCATTATCAAGATAAACATAGTCTTCTTCAAAAACGGTGTGAGAATAAAGCAACAAGGTGCTTCAGTTTTTTGACAGATTGTATGCTAGAGTTCCAGGAAATATAACTAATCGTAGACGATCGTTTGACTGGCATGATCTCCGTCTATCATAATATAAGTAAAGTAAGAAAATGTGTTAGGGGGGGAGGTAGAATTCTCTCATGATGATGAAGACATTTTAGGCGTTAGATGGGTGGAAGATACAGATTATAGAAGCATAATATGATACATCGAAAATAGAGAGATAAATGACCAAGTTCGAAGACGCGTAACCACAAAAAGTTGAAAATCAGCTTCAATGGTCAATAAAACACTGGCGTTCTGTGACAAAAATGTCCTGTAATTTACTCATCTATACATCTCGAAATCTGAATGAAAACAGTCACTTATTAGGTTGAACAAATTGTCTGTTGTAGTCCACTTGGAACGAAGGATGTTCTATTTAAGACGCGTCAGCTGGACGTACCTACATCCCAGTGAGTAATGCTGTTGGATAGGGTTTAATACAATTTACGTGACTGTATGACCAGAAATTATTTGAATCACTTCTCTAATACTCAAACAATGACCTAAAAGTATCAACTGAGTAAACACAACAATCACACCGATTATTTCCTACAAACTACACTACTCCACTATTCAAAGTTGAGACAAGAAACCATTGAAAGTGTAATTTAGTTAGGTAAACTTCTATTCATATTGTACACTATGTTGTATCTATATTCGTATACAGTTTGAAACACTAGAAAATAAAGCCAAAATGTAATCATTTCTGTCTGTCATGTGTAAGTCTAAGGCATGTATGTTTTCCCTCCTGCCTGTTTGTCTACGTGCATGTCTGGGCGTCTGTCTGCCTGTCTATCTATGTATATGTATAAACGTGTGCATCTATTTGTGTGTAAGTATGGGCGCATATGCATTTTTATCTGTCTATGCAGGTGCAAAAAAAATCCAGTAAGAAATAGGCAATAAGTTTAAAGAAATACACCATACTACTTAATAAAAGCAAACAAACAAAATAATTAATTCTATTTTTCGTTTCAAAACAATGTGAAGCGAATTGTTTAGAAGAATTTCAAGGGAAAAAATGGGACCGGTATTTTTAAGTTTTTCAGGAACACCTCACAAACCTCTCTTTTTCTTCCCCAGCAGCAGAGGCAACATCACCGACCACAACATCGTGTAAATGCGACCCACTTATTTATTTTTACAGTTAAACACAAGATGGATGGAAAAGTAAGTAACAATCTCATGTGATCATCATTACCGGTGTTGTAACGACTAATACAAGGCACCTGTAGATGAATCAAAGTAACTTGCTTCAGATGGAGGAGGATCAGTGAAGAAATATGATTTCGCCTGTTTCTTCTTCTTGTTATTATTATCATCCGGTTGCTTGTTCGTTGGAGGCGGTTTTGCTTCCAACTCAGAAAGCACTTTACTTTTTCGCTTATCTTCTACTTTATTCTCATCGTATACTATAGGATGAATACCCGGTGGTAAACCTTCGGCGTGCAATCTTAATGCAGCTTTGTGAAGTTGTGACATAAACTCTTCCATAGCTACAAAGAAGACGGGAAAATAGAAGACAATGTAAATAAAGTTAATTATTGATTCAACTGTTTCAGAGATATACGTGAATTTGATGAAATTGAAATCATGAGAACACAATGATTCAGAAACCGACGCCCCGCTGCCAGGAATCACAAAAATGACCGATGTGTCCATCATGTCTCCAAATTAGTCAAGAATGAGATACCTTAAGCTTGATCAGAGACCTTGATAAAAACGCAGAATGTAAATGCAGTAGTAGTAGTAGTAGAATTAGCACACAGTGAGACAGTAGTATTTACTGTACAAGGCTTTGAGTATAATTTATTGCTCATAATCAGATCAATGTAATCTCATGACGCCCAACTCCCAGTATTTTTTTGGTTTTGCCGCTTACCAATTATTGGCTTCAATGCAATAGGATTCTTTGTATATCCAGGATGAGTACTGGATTATTTCTACTGCAATCACAATGGAATGACACAGAGCAACAATCCTTAGAACCAATATATATGTATATGAAGATTGCCGAATCCTCTCATTTATCCAGTCAACCAACGCTGTGTGAGCAGAATGTCACTAAGCAGAAAGAGATAAACAGACGAAATCAATGTAGAACCTCATAAACACAACTGAAGTTGCCACACTTTACAGTAGTATTCGAAAAACAAGCGGATAGGAAAAAACCAATATCAAAGTAGATAAAGTTATGCGAGAGAATAATCAATTTGAAGATAACAGCCATTGTCACCGATTTTCAGTCATGTTACCAGCAGACCTCAACCACTGATTTCTGTCGTCTCGAGAACCCCAACCGGATAGTCTACACCTACATATACGCCTCGGATTGACAGCCAGGAACTTCGTCGATTGGTGACATGTCTCCCCTACTCTGGCCACCCTGAACCCTCTTCCAACTTGATTCGACTTCCCCACTAGCACGCCAAGTCGAAGTAAGCGGTCGATCGACATGCCCAACACATGTCGAAGAAATCTCAGTCGATGTAGGTTTGTAACTTCACCAATCGACTTGCCAATTACCGTTTGCCTGATCAGAAATCCCACTTGGAAGTGTAAGACTTTAAGACAAATATAAGTTATTACGTGGGAATATATCGATCCGAATCTCCAATACAACACAAGTTTCATTGAGAGTTATATCTTGATATATGTCTTCAGCCTCTAATTAGGCGGCTACATACACGAAGATTATGAAACCAAAACCATTCAGTGAACAAATTTCGACCCAAAGAAGTAAACAGTGAGAAAATATAAAAGATGAATGCTAGATAGCATATATTGACTGAAATGCGCTAAACAGATAAACATATCAACTCAAAACGACCACCAAACGTCAGTAATCTAACCCACTGAGAAAAATATACACACCAGTAACCAGCGTCTTTGGAGAAATGCATGATTGAAATGCACTCCCGTCAGTCACATGTACGTTTGCCAAGTAGGCGACGTGATGCGCCAATTGTATGAGGGCCAGTAAATACTACCTGACTGTACAAACCACGTTAGATGAAGTGCAAAGTTCGAACCCACGACTCAATGATTGACAGTCAAGTGCTTAGATCAATGAACCATAGCATGTTTCGGTAATAGTGGAACGAAATTTCATACCAATAATATCACATTTATAAACTCTGATAATAAGAATTCTGCGACCATTGTTTACACAGTTATAACTCAGGTTTTTTTAATCACAGAAAGTTGATTTTCTGTGAACGTATTATAAATACATCAATGAAGAGCTTGTACACTGTGAAATGAATCAATTTACACCGTTATAAACAATAAAAAGACATAATAAACTCCTCAAATATTATACGTCAATCTAATAGCATAGTCCTAGTAACCGGTAGTTGAAAGGGGAACATTTTAATAAGTCTAATTTCCCGTTGCATACTGGACGACGTGGAAGGTTCACAGTTTTTTTATAGCATAAATATCACTTATAACGTGTCTACACATAATTCTCTTGACATATAGCATAGTTCCATTAGATGCTAACATTGTCGTCGATGCACTGCAGAGCTCTTTCTTATAAAGTAATCCAATATACTGGTGAAAATATAAAAGATATAACACAACAAACATATTAGTATCTCAAGGTACTATACTATTCATCACACACTTACATCAGGTGGAGAATCACCGAAAACCTTGGGAGTACACACCCATGACTTTTGGGTTTCACGACGAGAAACACATTCGTGCGGTGTGCAATGAGCAACACCTAGTGCGTGACCGACTGACAGAATCAAACGTAGGACCCCACACAAAAGTGTGTCATCTCATGCTGCCACACTTCACAGTATTATACGAACACGTGGACAAGGAAGACTGATATCGAAGCAAACGAAGATGTGTAAGAGACAATAAATAATCAGAAGATAAAGGTTAGTGCAAACATCCTAGCTTTAAAAGGAGTCAGGGTGAATACATCTATGCCACTGTCACCAATTTTCAGCCACGTCACCTGGAGTCCTCAACCACTGATTTCTATCGTCTCGAGAACCCCAACCAGATAGTCTACGCCTACCTATACGCTTCAGACCGACAGTCAGGGACTTCATCGATTGGTGACATGTCTCACCTGAACCCTCTTCCAACCTGATTCAATTTCCCTCAATAACATAACAAATCGAAGTAGGTGGTCGATTGACACGCCCAACACATCTCCAAGCTATCTCAGTCAACTAGCATTCACAACCTCATCAATGCACTAGCCTAGTTTGCCTAGTATACTTCACCGGACCACGACATTCCTAACATGGTGATTCCACTGAACGCCAGCAATTCTATGAAGAAACAGATCATTAAAACCTAGTAATCCCTTCATATCTTCCACTTTTAGCAGCAGCAATGTCTAACATAACACAATGTATAACATGACACAACGGACTCCAATGCAGTATACTCGTCCTTTGATACACAGTTGGGTTTCTCGTCAATCGGTATCACAAATGACACAACTCGGCAACTACTAATCGAGCCTTATGTATCCCAGCTCACATTTCGTCAACAAACACCACCCCCTTCCACCTCATCCAACTCCCCAAATAAGTGAAGTGGTTGACACATTACACCACTTCGCTCCCTATCATTCAACCCAAAGGGGTTGTAGACCAGTCCTGGACCATCGTCATACATTTGACATGTCCGAAATGCATGCTAAACATAGATTTTTGATCAACACGTTCACAAGACCATAACTGCATTTCCACAGCATCTTCACCTAGCAAAAAAATATAGTCTGCGTACTCCAAGTAGACCAGATGACTTCCAGGAAGGAAGTAGGTCAATCTTTGTGAAGTAAGACGTATCTAAGGTTATGTCTATTAGTACGTCTGTGAAGAAGTTAAATATGAACAGTAACAGTGGACACCATTGGCAAACACCACTAGTGTGTACGGGCCAGTAATGCTACATCGCTGTCCAAACCTTGGTAGGTGGAGCAGTGATCCAACGGCTGAAAGTCAACTTCTCAAATCAATGAGCCACAATTCTATTAAACTTGAGTTGGAGTGGGGTTCGAACCTACGAGCTACAAGAACTTCAGGGAATCCATCTAAGAGTGTAACTTAGTTTAAATCAATAAAGTCAGTCATAACACTAGGGCAGAATTCAGGCAATGTAATAGAATATGATTACACTATAATTCCTCTTATTATACACATCACATAGAGAAACAGTATCATATACTGGTAACGTTTAGAACAGAATTCACTGCTTGGAGTAATCAAAAAACCTTTTGATCCAGTTTTTATAATCCCACTGTTTTTGTTTCTTAGATTTAAATGTTAGAAATTTTTCACATATCCCGAATGGACGTTGTATCATTCCAATTACATGAGTCAGGTACAGATTCCACAAACACAGAACAAAGAAGACTACATCAGGGAGGCAGAGGGTTTACTCAAAGACGAAACTGAATCTCAACCACTCAAAACAAACCCTTTCCAAAAAATTGGAACCAGATCAATAAAACCTTGAACAAACTCCTCATCAAAGCAAAAGAAATAAAAGACAAATGTCGAATAAAATCGAATGGACATATCCTTCCTCGGTTCTATAGCAGACCAAAACTACACAAACCAGACATCCCTCTACGACCAATAATTTCACTTCCGGGAACTCCAACACATAACATATCAAGGGAAATTTCTAGAAAACTGAGACACCTGGTCCAATTATGTGGTCATTACATAACATCAACAAAATTCTTAGAAAAGATCAAAAGCATTAACATAGAAAACAGCGAATTAATGGTATCCTTCGATGTTACAGCACTATACACATCCATCGAACCTCAATTGGCCAAGGAAACCATATCCCTCCCGATCAATGAAGACACAAGCCTTTCAGAAGGCACAAAACTCAAATGTTCAAGTCTGATGGAACTCATCGACCTTTGTATAACAACATACTTCCAATTCAATGCCAAGATATACAAACAGATGAAAGCAACTCCCATGGGGTCGCCGAAATCCGGACTAATTGCAAAACCAGTGATGTAGAGACTGGAAACCATCATTCTACCTATGATTAAATCAGCATTGTGGATTCACTATATACATGATACTTTTGTCATCATTAATATAGATGGTATAGAAAACACTCACAGTTTGATCAACAACGTTTTCAGTGACATCAAATTCACAATGAAGAAGAAGTCAAACAACCAACTACCATTCCTGGATGTTTTAGTCAGTGGGACAAATGCCAGAAGGCTGGAAACCCAAGTGTACTGGAAGCCAACACACACTGATCAAATACTCAACCACAGTAGAAACAACCCAACAACACTCAAAGGCAGTTGCGTGCAGACTCCATTCAAAAGAGCGAGAACACACTGCAGTACAACAACTTCATGCAGAAATGAAGAAAATTACTTAATGTCTATTCTGAAGAAGAACGGAGATGCCCTCAAAACGTTATCAGAAGATGCCCATCCAGTACATCATCAACTACAAAATCATTGACAGAAATCAGTAAACGGATCATCCCACATACAGTACATAAAGAATATGTTAGAAACCACGACAAGATTACTGAGACCACCTGGAATTGGTGCGGCCACTCGTCAACCAACAAATTCCCTCCAAACACTATTATGTAGGTCAAAGGAAGCAACAACCAAAGAAGACGAACCGAATATCATTTACAAAATCAGCTGCGATAACTGCAGTCAACACTACACTGGACAAAGTGGTCGCCCTCTTCACCGATTGGCTACTAGACGTCATGACATTTCGTCACTCACTTCAATGCACGTGGATAATTATGGACATGAATTGAATTTTGACAGTGTAGAAATTCTGGACGGAGAGAGGAAACACAAAGAATATCAGAGAATTCCTAGAAGATTGACATTCAGGTTAGTCAGTCAGTCAGTCAGTCAGCAATTAGTAGATGTATAGGCGTAGACCCAATCTACCAACCGATAAGAAAAGTGATAAATGACAGAGGAACAGCCAACAGGAAAATCCATTCAATCAATTTACACAACAGTCAAAGGGAACAACTAACCACAAACTAGTTCATCAGGGTAGGCCACTTACTGAATCATTCACGGGAAGATAATGACAGGTCACTTCATACTGAAGTTAGTGCTGATGATGTCGTCTAGAAAGACGATGAAGGCTTCACGATTAAACAACCCAGCTCAGAAAACCAAGGTCAATTACCATTATCTCTCTCTATCTACGTAAGTTGCTTTTCACAATTGTCACTCTATTCCATCCATTTGCGTGACTGTGTGTAACAGCATGCATAGAGGTTGTCGAGCTCTATTCTAGACGACTTATTGGGGTCTACCGTTATGTATTTACCTAAATTTCTATGTTCAGTTACGGAAATAGATCACGATCGGCTTCTTCGACCAATGTATTTGATATCACAGTCATTACATGGAATTCGGTAGACTAGATTGTTGTCTTTTACAGGCTCGATAGGATCCTTTAGCCGATCAAGTTTGTCTCTAAGTGAGTTTTCAGGTTTAAACGTCATTCTAGTACAGGCTTTATTAGGAATCTTACGTTGGTGTTCTTCATATACTAAAATTATAGAGGTTTTAAAACACTTCCCTGTGGTTTCATTGCCAACACAGTTTGCGTCTGTAACTGTGTTATTCGTGGTATTTCTTTTACGACTCATCATGTATTTAAGGAGACATGAATCTTCCGCTTGACCTTGATACGAAATGTTATCCAGTAATTAATAATGTCCCACTGTGTGGTGCATAGAAATAAAGAAACAAGATGGAATATTACGTCATCATGTTTCTCCAATTCGTCAAAATGATGCGTATCTATTCTAGTTAGCGCAATTCTTATAGAAACTCATACCAACTACTATTCAATAATGGGAACGTCAATACAACAAGCGCTACCAACTAATTGTGACAAACAGCCACTATGATTCATTCACCTAGTGGACAACAAAGCTACAGTCTTCGGTTATTTCGATTCAGTAAACAAGTGTACTAAATACAAAGAGGTATGACTACTAGGCTTTCAAAGTTTTAGCCTGCACTAAAATACAATTTCGTTGATATCCTTTTTACTGCTAGGTTTCAGTTGTTTTTCGACATACACATCAAAAGAACTGCAAACGGTTGAATAACAAATAGGCGAAACAAAGATCAGCTGAAGTTTTCGCATTATGCACGTGATATACAAAGTACAATGATGATGATGGAGAAGAAGAGACAACAACATTAATAATAACAACCAAAAAAAAAACAAAGGAAAACGTAAAAGAACCACCTAAAAAAAACAGAAAGGTCTTAAGAAAACTTGTGATATACATACAAACATACAAAGAACGGAACTTCCATAAAAACTAACTATTCAACGATTAACAAATGGATAAGAAGAAAACAATCGATATGTATTCGGAAACATGATGGCAAATAATGCACACAATTATATGGAATTATCAAAATGATCGGTAATTATTACCTTTAATTGAGAACAACTTCATCGGTGAACCATTGACTGGAAGGCATGGATCATCGTAATAGATCAGATAGTAGTTCAGTCCAGTCTGTGGAAAAATTGAATGGGAATCCAATCAGGTGAAAAAGACTAACAATGAAAAGTGAAGTTATAATGTTCATTGTTATAATAGAAGTGGTAAGTGACAGACAGTAGAGGGTAAGCATTGGAGTCGAGTGCTTGTTTCTTTCAATTACAAATCAATAAGTTAAGCGTTCTGTATCCCAGAGCTTGCTAGTGCTGTCAATGGAACCGACCGACAGCTGCTACCTTGACGTGGTTAGTCGGGCTACATTGATTGGAAAGCTTGTCCCCTCGAGGTCCTACTATACCAGAAAGCAGTTACCGTTATAGCGAAAATTGTTACGCTATGATGGGGATCCGAGGGCTAAAGTCATGTTTCTGACTGGATGGATGTAACAGTAGTAAGGCGTTTCCCGTGGATGATTTTCAGTACCACACCGCCTTCTCTTTGGGAAAAGGTGGTTAGAATACGTCATCATAAAAATAGCATACTCCCACTACTCCCAGTATACCGTTGACAGCGATATGGTCGCAGTCAAAACTAAAAAAATTGAATCTCAAGCACCCAAACCTGCCTTACATAGTCAGCCTCAAGATGTCCTTTGGTCTCTGCATTCACATACTAAACCGTCTTTCTCAGGTTCTTCAAGAAGAAATTACCTTCACAGTGTGGGGAGCTGGGAAGAGCCAACCAAAAATTTGTCACCACTCAAGTCCTTTCAGATTACCTCCCACATCCTTAACATCTAATCTTCCTTCATGCCTCCCTACATCGATTTTAATCTCTTCCAGCTGTGCAGCTTTAGAAAACGATCTGAGTTTACTGATTAGTATTTCTGGTCTCCTGAAACGGCGGTTTAAAATACACATTGCAGCTTTCAATGTTCTCTCTCCATCAAATCGGCTAACATGCTTCGCCACTCAAAACCCTAGCAACTCAGGCCATGGATGTCTGCTGCATTTGTGAGACACGCGTACAGGAAACAAGCACGGTTATTCGCTTAACCTTGCCCAACCGATGTGGTGAATACAAAAAAGTCACCTTTCGAGTTTCTGGAGATCCGATGGTCAGTTCTCACGGTCTTGCAGGTGTAGGCATAGCACCAAGACATTTGGGTGGCAAAAGACGCATCCTAAACACTCAAATTGCCACTCAAGGCGCCTAGAAGACTCAGTATCTTGTCAGGGTCTCAAGCTAACAAGACTATGCCATCCGCATACTCCATGACCAGCAACGATTTTCCTGTGAAGACATGATAAGAGGTAGACCTCCATAAGTACGTCTATGATAAAGTTGAATGAGAATGGATAGAGTGAATGTCCCTGACGGACACCAGTCGGCGTAAACAACTAACTTAACAACTCACTGTAGGCCCAAACACTGCCACGAGCATTCGGGTACAGAGCCTTCAATAGAGCAAGGTAGTGACTTGGCAATCCTTTCAGTGAAAGACACTTCCGTAGGACCTCTCGATCGACGGAGTTGAATGCTGCCTCCAGGTCAAGGAATACAGCCAGTGTTGGGCGTTGGCAAGTGTGTCTGCGTCCGAGAACCTGGTGGAGTGTGAATATGTGGAAGATACACCGACGGTCAGATCAGGAGCATACTTGATTTTCTCGGGTTAGTTGTTCCTAAGCTCCTTCTCAGACGTCTAGTGACTATAGAACCTAGAATCTAAGACACAGTTAGGTTGATTCCCTTGTGGTTATCACAAAAAGACTTTTCACCTTTCTTGTTGGTCAAGATAATCAGTGATTGAGGCCAGGTAGAAAGAATTATACTTAACTCCCATGCGCCAGTAAACAGTTCATTTAATTTGACCAATAATCCTCTACCACTGTCTCTGAGTACCTCAGGAACTAGTTCGTCTGGTCCTGTTCCTCTTCCTCGTTTCAGGTTACTTACAGCCTTCTTAACTTCTGTAAGTTTCGGAGATCCTATATCGACATTCTATTCAGGAACCAATCGGATGGAAGGTAACGGAATCATAGCTGGAGGTAAGTTGAGCTGTTGCTAGTAGTGTTCTGCACACCGTTCCAGTCTTCTATCCTGCAAGTGAATCACAGACCCATCAATCTCCACTATCATCTCACTGATCACTGACGTTTTCGTCCGTTTCCTCAACAAATCTAAATAACTTAATTGTAACGTATCGCTGCTGCCTTTTCCATCTCTTTAGCCTTTGCTACCCATCACCGTTCGCAGTAATTGCGTATACTTCTCATCAGTCCATATTTGAGTTGCTTCCGCCAATGTGTTCGGAGCCTGCAAGAATGCGTTCATGTGCATTCATTGATTCGGAAGAAGCTGCTGAGATCCACTCGTCCTTTTCAACTATTCACTGATATTCAGCTACGGTATTCAAAGCAGCTTTTATGGCAGACTGGAATTGGCTCAAAGCTTTTTGCTGTTCACACTTAAATCTAGTATTGTCGATTTCTTCTACATGATTCCTAACCAGGCTATCGTTATCACTTTCGAAGTTGCTACACACAATACCTATATATATTCTTACAAGTAGCTTAAACTGTATGGGAGATATTCTCTAGGGCAGGCGTTATTTGGGACAGAGATTCTGTTGACATTCTAGCAATTACTTACAGATCACACTCAACTTAAATGCTATCAAAAGCTGTCCTGAAAAGAATAAGGCTGGCGGACTATGCATACTTCAAAGTCAAGCTACAATTTCCACTTATCTCTCTGCTAAAGTATAGCAGCTTATTAAAATATACCCCACGTGTTTCGCGATCAAAATGATATAATATATGAAATGGACAGATTGGAAGAGAGAAAACTTTTAGGTTTGGCGCTAAATAAACAAGCTTTCTCAGAAACTTGGTAGATTTTCGTGAATCAGGCAATCAGAAGAACCTATTTTGTGATACTACTTGCCTCCAAAACCTCGGTAAAGAGAGAGAGAGAGAGACGTTTGAACTATGAAATGCCCGAATCACTACGAATTTACGTTCAGTCCAACTAAATAAAGAGCATAGACGAATGTTGAAGTCTACATTGCTTCATATCTTAATTAAACAAGAAAAAAATTGAGCGATAAATTGATAAACCATATTTCAAATATAGCCAGTAGATCAACACAATAAACAAAAAGGTAGCGAGTGTTACCGAATAACTACAAAGGATTTATCACCATTGGGGTCTCCGGAAAATCGTAAGGCGAATTTCTAAGATTCACTACTATGGTCAGGTAAGGTCAGTTTCGTAACACTCGGGATCCCGTGTACGTGTCACAGAAACACAGCATGCATCCATGGCCCGAGATCCCACAGTTCTGGTGAGCGATGCCTGCTGTCCGGCCGAACACGCGGGTCCGGACGTTGGAATCTCCACTATGGGATCGACAGCGAGGTCTTAGGAGACTAGGAAAGAAGTGTAGATGGCTTGAATCGTTGGCAATGATCGCAGGGTGAGGTTGAAGAAGTTGTAAAAGGCTTTATATTGGTATCAGGGGGTGAAGACAAAGGAAAAGACAAAAAAAGATAGATGTGCTGTGTACAATTGGATCTTGTACACGACTGGAAGCATGAGGGCAGTTGACACGTTTTGGCGTCCCACACCACAGAAAAAGAGAATATTTGTATGACCCAAGAGCCTATTGGATATCTGCTTGAGGCCTGTCACAAACAGCGCTTTGAGGATGGTTGGTTTGCGATTTGGTTGTTCGAACACTGGATAAGGAAAACCTAAACCTACGCTGGAAGACAGTAAAGCATGAAGTGTACAATTCCGGGGGTCGATCTATTCTAACCATTCCCTGCCATAAGGAAAGCAGCATCAGCATGGTGCTGTTAGACATTCAACGAAAACACCTTACTATTGTCACACCCCATCCAGCCAGCAATGTGATTTCGCCGTCGGACTCCACCATGGCGTAGCAATTCACATTATAACAGTAACTGCTTTTCGTCTTAACACTACCCAGAAGACATTCCTGGCATAGTAGGACCTTGAAGGAACAAGTGTTTCAGTCAATGTAGCTCATTTGGTCATTTTGATATGTAAGCTTGACCCCCACGTTAAAGTAGCAGCTATCGGTCGGGACTTGAAGCATAAGACTGAGACATACACAGCATGTAAATTGCCAAACAGATGGTGAAAGTCTATTATTATATTAACCGACTCAAATGATTCAATTGCCTTAAATCGTACCCCAACAATTTTACACATTTTACGACAACAATGAAAAACTAGTCATATTTTCGACTCCAAATGCTCACAATCCATAGGTGAACTGCAGTCAAACCAACAAGGAATTTGTAAACGAATTCCAATAAACAAGTGTGTATCATCTGGATATTACGAATAGCTCAGGTCATGTAAAATATTGGCAGCTATTATACTTTGCAGGCTGTGCCAACCGTGTTAAAAACCGAACAACGAAGAGCTGGCCGGGTTTCTTTCAGGTCGTTTAGGCACTGATCACGTACCCAACCTCCATCACATATGCTCGAACATCATCACGTGTATTGTACGACAACGATCGTTGTACCTTCTGACTTTGGGGCTTCGTTGGATTTATTAAACAGGGTTGAACTGTGGAATCATTTGTTAGAGAGGTTTCTATGAGAAGCTTATGAACACTTTGAAAGCTCCATACTTTAAAACGTGAAACAGAGTAAAGATGTACAGCCATCTCTCTTCACAGTTCTAAACTAGTAGTAGAGTTAGACAATGCTACTCGTTTTCCCCCTCTGCCTTAGCTATAGACGGCATTCTAGAAACAGCCCTGAAAGGTGTCTTGTGGTGGTGTTTTTGATCTCGAGTATGTGCACGATTTCGTTTTACAGTGCGACAACAAACTGGCTACTTAAAGCATACTCACTCAGGTAGCGATGAGTGCCCATACGTACGGTTTGTGCTTTGCACCGCAAAAGTCCAGAGTGCTCTTACAAGACAGACAGTAGCCTGTACCTCTATTGCCGTTGGTGGCGAATCGTAGAAAGTTGTTCAAAAGTTTGTGCAGATGAGTTTTTGTGTGATGATGATAATTCCAACCGCGTATAAAAAAATTGATGGGTATAACAAGAACAAAGCATGTATCAGCGAAGAAATATTTCTTTTCAACGACTTCACTATCAAGCTGTACAGTCGTATTTATACTGAGTAAAGTAACAGATAATTGCACTAAAAAGTTGCTCAGACAATATGCAAAATATACAATCGGTGGTGGTGGTATTTGTTCAAGTGGAAGAGATAGAAAATGGGTCACTGAATAGGGAGGAACGAATTGATAACAAGTGATGAGATAAGCGACAAGTGCTGACAAAGAATTGTAAAACGGTGATAATTAAGCTGAAACGTGCACAATAGGTCAATGATTAAGGGATGAATTGATATTAAATAGTGAAATATGGTTCAAGTGTTGTCAATGAAGTGAAAATTGGTGATAGTGGTGATAATAGAAGAGAAGTATACCAAAGTGAAGTGAACTGAAATTGACAATATCAACAAAATGAATTGTTAAGGCCAAGGTAGAGAAAGTGGTTTCACAAAACGTTTTTGAATGCAAAGTTTCGGTTTTTGTTCATGTATAGCTAATGCTTCTGTTTTATCCTTCTGATCTCTGGATTTTAGAAATTTATTGTCATCGCTGAGAAATAGACACAGTTTATCAATGACAATAAATTTCTAAAATCCAGAGACCAGATGTTGAAAATCAAATATCGAAAATTTTAAGAAAATTGGAAGAATGTATGGTATGAGCAGCTTAGACCATCTGGTTCAAACATGCTCCGTTTATATGGTCTGCCGAAGGTGCATAAAGATGGTCTTCCTCTTCGTCCAGTACTTGATATGCTTAATTCACCCTATCACTCATTAGCAAAGTGGCTTGCAAAAATGCTTGGCCCGGTGAGATTAAATCTGTGCAAGTATAGTCTTCCCGACACATTTGGTTTTGTTCGCTGCATCGGAGATATCAACGTAATGGGTAAGCATATGATATCGCTTGATGTTTGTTCTTTATTTACCAACGTTCCACTTGTTGAAACCGTTTGTTATCAATGTGATTACATTGATTCTAATAGTATTAACATTGGATTACCTACGAACCACCTAAATGAACTAATATTGAGGTGTACGTTTAATGTACAGTTTAGATTCAATAATATAATTTATAATCAGACGGACGGAGTTGCTACGGGGTCTCCACTAGGCCCTGTTCTGGCTGATATCTTTATGGCAAAGCTTGAAAACGGGCCCCTAAAGAAATAATTTCGGAACTTTATTTGTATAAAAGGTACATGGACGACCCTTTTCTTATTTGCGATGAAACGCGTTCAGTGGACGAGCTGTTAAGACGCTTCAGTGATTGTGACCGGTCCATTAAATTCACTGTAGAAGAACAGTTAAACTCATCGTTCCACTTTCTAAACGTAAGGTTAAAGAGAAGGGATGATGGCTTTATACAAAGGTCAGTCTATCGAAAACCAACTTGAACCGGACAGTTCACTAACTTTTATAGTTGGATACTTCTTGGTTGTGAGAGAAATTTTCACTTCATTGACAACACTTGAACCATATTTCACTATTTAATATCAATTCATCCCTTAATCATTGACCTATTGTGCACGTTTCAGCTTAATTATCACCGTTTTACAATTCTTTGTCAGCACTTGTCGCTTATCTCATCACTTGTTATCAATTCGTTCCTCCCTATTCAGTGACCCATTTTCTATCTCTTCCACTTGAACAAATACCACCACCACCGATTGTATATTTTGCATATTGTCTGAGCAACTTTTTAGTGCAATTATCTGTTACTTTACTCAGTATAAATACGACTGTACAGCTTGATAGTGAAGTCGTTGAAAAGAAATATTTCTTCGCTGGTACATGAATGGGTATATTTCGTCAGATAGTTATAAGGCAATATGGATCATCTTTGGTAACGTCGTGACGTTACCCTTGATGTAAGAATTCGGGTATCCAACGTGTCGGTGCAGGCAGTTCTGCTTTACACCTGTGATACTTGGGCCCTGTGAGCTGAAGATGTCCGACTGTGGGTGTTCGATCACCGACATGAAAGTATTTCTGAAGTGAGGAGCCATGTAGTTAGGCGTGATAGAGATCGTCATTCATTTAGTGTGGTCACCTTCAAACACCAGTTATTGTGGCTTGGACATCTGCTAAGTAAGCCGATCCAGCAGCTGTAACAGTGCTAACTGTTCTCTTGTCCCAGAACTGTCAGAAAGAAGTGGAAAGGTACCCAGTTTGTGACGTGGTGCTGTGGGATAGTTGTGTTGGATTAGCATCTGCAGGTGTCTCATATCTCCTTGGATGGGGTCTGAGAGACGATACAACTAGGTGGCGTGAGATGCTAGCAGACATGACTCAAAATTAAAACCAGTGGTGACCGTGACGCAGTTTTTTTGTTTCTTCTATTACTGGAAAGTAAAATGAAAGTAGTGAGTCCCTCTTTGTATGTACATGTGAGGCTGCTTTTTTGATAAGCCATTTTTGTTCCCATTTCTCACCTGCGCCTAGTTCTGCTAGATTATTTTGTATGTCGCATCTCTTGATACCCATGTCCCACGAAGTTTGATTTTCTTGAATAAATAAAATATCATAACCATGCTATCTAACATGGATAACAATGAGGTTGGCGTTCAAAGTTAAATGAGATGGCTTGAAAATAAGCTGCTCAAGCGTAAATCTATGAAACTTAACTTCAAAGACCGTGATGTTAACCAGAATCTTTAGGATATTGGCAATATGTAGACGAAGGCATTAGAAGTAAACGCAATAGATAAAAGTGACACAGTAGACAAGATCCTAAAGTGGTGTCATTTTATGGAGTAAGTAGAAAACGCTCCGCAGGTGCTGAAATTTTTGCTTGTATAAAATGTTGATTGATTACAGCGTACACGAGGAACTGTGTTCAGACAGCTTTATGACAGCAGGACATAATGACTCACAGAAACACAGATCACTTAGTATCAACATCAAAACCTTGTAAAACAGTTGAAGAAACTTTTTTTCGCATAGACTTGACAGGAGGTGTGACTAGCTTCAACATCTACACTTTGCGCATATTTTATAAATACCCTAATGAGTTCGCGGTATTCTACAACGAATACAGTTCTACTTACCTCATTGAATTTTCCATGTGACTGTATTAACATCTCAGAATGGTATTCATGAACCTGTACAAGATCACGTTTCGTCATGCTTGTCCACGAACCTGACTTCTTTGAAGACTCCACTGGAAAACCATCTGAAGATTGACTGTACTTTTCTTGATAATCTGGTGAACATCGTGAAATGACATAAGCATAGCGACTCAGTGATTTATGTTTCTCAGTTGCATCATTTCGACACAAAACAACGGATGCTGCAGACTTGTCTTCATGTTGATGTAACAAAGATAGCGATTTTTCGGTGTTTAGATGAAATTCATCGGGTTGCATCCACCAACGGCGCATGTAAATATATTCACGATTGACCAAAGGGAAAGGAAAACGTACAACCCAACGAATTATAGAAAAATCACCGTTATGTACATCACTCGGTGTAATATAATCTAACTTTACAATTTTGTCATCCCAATTCCGTCGATAGTCTAAATTAAGTTGTACTTCTAAAAATGATGATGCTGATATATCATGAAATTGTCCACAAACTACAAAGGAAAAAAAGTTCAATTACTGACGTCACTTTTGAATAAATACATGTCTATATAGACATGTCAAACGATACTATGAGTACACGCATGTACGCGAAGCAATTCAATGTAAATCACGTAATTCATTTTCGAGATAAAACGACCGTTACATTTTTTAAGAAAAACAGTATATTGTGAAGCTACACTTGCCAGCAGAAAGAACTGTGAGAGTAAGAGACGTGTATACTGAGAAATTTTGTCACAAGTTAACTGACCGACTAGAAATACTTCATTCCTCAGCACTGAGTAATGTGTATACGACAGAATCAATAGCACTCGCTAGTTATAAAGTAGCCCAGATACAATGGGACGTAAAAAGCACCATGTGGAAAAGTGGAGTTGTGGCTCCTTGGTTTAGGTAGTTAGCTTTCAACTATTGGGTCACGGGTTTGAACACCGTTCCACCTAACGAGGTTCGGGCAACCAGGTAGTTGCATCACTAGCCCTAATACAATAGGTGTGGTTCGAGTGTGCATGAATGTCCAAGAGACTGCTGAGTACGTCTCGTCTTTTGTTCGTTCATATGTAGAAAAAACATGGCTCATAATATTCTCACTCCTACCAACGTAAAAGAATAGTGCGATAAAGAGGCGAGATGTAAACCATATTGACAAATAATAACGATAAGGATTGAAGAAACGATGACAAGGGGACTTATTTACTTGTCTTGATAATTTTAAAACCTACTTCCTTGTTTTTATTTAAGAGGTAAAAAAAAGCCATGACAGGACCAACAGTACCGCTGACTTTGAGTCCTATCGACAGTATCATTAATCGATAAGTTGCGTGATCTCTACAGCTTCAACCTACGAAGAATCGTGAAGCACCAAAACATGCTAACCTGACACAATTATCGTTTTTGAAATGGTGGAGAATATTTGTAGCTCGGGTGGATGGTCTAACTTCAGACTGAAGTTAGTGCTGATGATGTCGTCTAGAAAGACGATGAAAGCTTCACGAGTAAACAACCCAGCTCAGATAACACAATACAACCAAGACAACTATCCTTCATTCGATGATCTCATAAAGCATGAATAAACTTCATAAATTATTCCGTCGAGAAGCTCCAACTTATATCTGTACTGATCTATTCTACACAAGACGAATCTATTACTACTATAAGTCCTAGCGTTAATTGTTCTGACAAACTTAAGTTCCACTTACGGGAAAAAAACTATTCCAACCAAAATACAGAATAGAAACCAGTGATACTGATCAGAAACACTACCTGGGGTGAAATATGCTTCCATAACGGTGATATATTGAAGCTGTATCGTTTAACATGACCACGACATCGGCAGCTTATTGCAATGTGGTATAGTTGAGTCCAGGTTTGAGTGGTATAAGTAAGGAGCTAAAGAGCCCATTAGGGTTGACTGTATCGGAAGTTAGCACTGACCAGGGAAAGACTGAGATCTGAGTAAACTCTACAGAAGACGATACTCAGTGTACGTAACTTGCAGTCGATTAGACCTCACATAAACGATTCTCCATCAAACGTAAACGGATAATTTATACACTCAAGTTTTCGCCCAGCAGTATGATATTTTTCAAGTGCATCTGATTGAGAAAGTCACAGAGTCGATTGGACTACTCATCCTCAGCTTCCATTTGAGCTACACTTCGTTAGAGTATATATAGATAAAGGTGATAAATAGGTAACGTTTCTTTTTCATATAAATCTTACTGGAAATAAACGTTATAGCCTGACAACACAAAAATAACGTTTAACAAGAGTTTAGCCAAAAAGTGTAACTTCATTCAAAGTGCTAGACACAAAATAGACACAGGTGTCATACGGACTTCAGATAAGAGCACTTTTCTAACTGACGGACCGGTAACTTATTCGAAGCACTTCACTATAATCTTGTTTGAGAGTCCCTGAGATATATCATACATCGGTAGAGAGAGTTGCCGGAGTCAAAACTAAATGTGCTTGCCTTCTAATCTGTAACCAATTATGAAAGTTAACGAATGGTAGCAGGAGTATTTGTAGAATAGCTGAATTAAACATCACACTGGATAGTAACCTTTGGGGAAACTATTTCTCAGTCACTCAAAGCTCTGCTCTACAGACCCATCAGAAGTTTTTAAAATGGTGAGCAGCTGAGTGGAACACAAAACAAGGGCAAAAGTTAGATAATAAGTTTGTTAGACACATGTTTTGTCTTCTGATACCAGAACAGATTTTAAACTTCAAGTCAATATACTGCTTTTATGGGCAGTCATCATTCTTTATCCATATTTTATTGCATACTGATCAATAAGTATCCTGCAACAATTATTCGTCATAGCATCGAGTTCTTGATTTTACCAGTTTGCGGTGAAAAGCGAAGGCTGACTTTGTATCTAATGAATTAGAAAACGTTTAACCGCAACAAACGAGTTTATACACAACCTTAAACGTACCAGTCACAGTATGTAGTAAGATGGAAAGAGTAGATAGCAGTTTGTAACTAAATCACTACAGACAGAACTTATTGAAGCAGATGAAAAGTAAAGATCTACAGGATTTGCAATAACTTAGCACCAACTGACCACGATTTCCAGCGTCTCATATATATGACAGCATAAAACCCGGTTTTATGCACACAGGTGGTAGATAATAATATTTACAAGAAACTACTGACAAAATACAAAATGACAAAAATACAAAATACATTCGGAACTTGAATAAAAACACTTATTCCCAGTAGTTTGCATGCTTATTGTAACTTCCTAGTAAATACACTATGTAAGCATAACTGATACATACTTCAAGCTTTTTCAACAAAAGTAAACGCTACACACTGCAAGATGCGAAAAAAATTCCCATAAGCTATTAGTAAATACAAACTTACTGGGACATTGATTGTCCGATCAAATTAAACAGTGGAAGTGGAAGGACTGACCGTCTTCACAAAGCAGCAATATCAAGTTTAAAGACTGTTTAAGTGAGTTTTGATGTGCTTATTCAGCTTCGGCTCATGCGGTTGGTTCCTATGGTCTTATCGTTTAGAATGTACTCATCTGTCAGTGAGTCATCATTTCTCGGTGCTGACCGAATACCAACAAAGGGCCTCGGACATACTTTATAAAAGCTTACTTGATATATACTAATCACAAGCTCGAACTTGATTGAAATAGCTATGAACATTATTTTGCGAAGTTCAAGTGCTTCCTGGTGAATTTCTGATAGCAATGTAGGTGGTAATTCTGAATTTATTGATTAGTTTTTTGGTCGGTGATATATATATGCATAACATCAGAAGAAGACAATGGGATTGAAAGTATGTTTACCTCAACCGAATAGTGCGATTATAGCTGAAAGTTCATTCGTTTAAAAGCCTTCTTAAGTGTCTTGACCAGAAAAAATAAAATAGTACTTTAAAAGTGTAAAATGAACCAATCAGCATTTGGTATCTTAAAACGCACTAAAAATAAGCACCATTGCGTGAAGCGAAAAAGGAGCAAAAATAAGGTTTGAATTTTGCAATGGAAATATATACATAAGTTAGTTTATTAGGGGTCAGACATCCCTAACAATTAGCAATTGGTTACCTGCACAGCCCTGGCCCTATATGCACACCAATGTCGAGCTACTCAACAGTACATACAAAAAAGAAACAAGCCCGCTTTTTTCTTGGCAGACATTCTCTATGATACAGTGCCAAATACCAAATGAAAGGTCTTCCGTACGATGCTACACTCATCATCAATTATGAGAAAACCCTTGCTAACTTCCTCAGATTTCAGATCTTTCCTGCAAGAAAAATCGAATTTCCAAGTTAATGCAAAAAATAGGTTATGTATAATTACAAATATGAAATCTTTTTTAAATCTCCGTTTTCTTACCCCTATACTCGTATTTATTGCTTGGCTTTGAGCAGTTGCCTTCATTATTGTACATAGACACTTTAACTGGCCGTCGCCAAACACGTATACTTGGTCGGTCAAAAACAAGATCCCATGAGTCATCAACAAAACCTGTACCATCTGGTTGAATGTTCAAGTTTGCAAAAAATGATAAAAGAGAGGTAGTAAAATGATCCACATTTGAAACTTCATTTAAATGATGATGATGATGATGGTCGGAATTACAGAGAGGTAAATCAGAATCAGTAGATGGAACTAAATCTAAATTAGGAGAGGAAAACACTGGCATTTGTTTCAAATAATTGTGACGTAGCTGCCGTATCATTAAAGTTAATGGAGGGTCCCATGATTCACAGGATTGATTGTTAACAGAGTGTTCAATACTCGGTGAAGGTAAAGGTTCTTCCTTGGTATCAGTTTCAACGACACTAAATGATCTGCTGTTGTTGGGATCACTTGAATCACCATTTTTCGTAGAAAAGCTCTCGAGAGTACTAAAAGTAAAACATAATTAGCATTAAGCTTTACTTACATTAACACTTCTTCATCTGTGATTTTATCCTGAGCAAAAGAAATTAACGATGCACCAAGTAAAACTTTTTGAGTAACAAATGAACGAGAATCTGTTCTTATACTCCAGTATTTGTCACGTAAACGACGGATAATCAGTGTTCCTGAATGACGACACAAAAGCAAATTAGCTATTACTGCCCTGTGAGTAGATAATACAAATCTTGTTAATGATGAATTCGGTTGGCAGCATGCTTGTTCTATCTGCGAAGACAACTGAAAGGCAAGCGTTCTGACTCGAACGGATAACGGAAAACTCAAAACGCATTTCTGTAATACAAAAGAATGCATATGAGATTTTTTGTTGCTGAAACAAATGGGTTTTATTGTAAAACAAATAAAGCAAAGGTACGCGGTTAAATGATATTTTCGACGTTTATATAAGCAGGTAAATACTAAGTAATCATTAACCAGTACTGACTAATATGTTTTTAACTAGCATAGCAATCAATCTCTGAAAAAAAATAAAAAGGGAAGTCACACGAGTACGCAACACTAGCAGCATTAACAAACTATCTAATACCTCAACCCCAGAAACAAGCTACATTAAAGAAATGAACTAAGAGGATAGTGTCATATTTTGCAAAATAGTCACCATTGTGATGATACAACTTGATTCTTAACAAGATTCGATCATGAAGGTAAACACGCTAGCCATCAATAACATATGCATGAGCACATGCTGAAATGTAAGCTGTCCAATAACGACACGGTTGGAAACACTAGTCTTCTAACGAACTGAAACGCAATGAAATATATTGCTTAGACCAACGAGCCAATTACGCAAAAACAATAAAAGCAAGAGTACACTCCAACAATCAAGTACATCTTCATAAACTCAGCCATAATTTACACACATTGGATGAAAATCAGTGAAATATCCAATAGCTGATCAAAAGATGCGTTTACAATATTGTGGTTAACTTTACTTCACTTAAAAGCTGAAGATGTGACCCTTGAAAGTGGATGAAATCAGACAACAGGTTCTAAATCATCGACGTCCTCTTACAAATGCTGGTGTGTAATGAAACCAAAGACTGAGTAGTGTTGATGCTAGATGTAGATTGTTATCAAAGTTGTTTCTTGCACACAATTGTATCGGTTTAAGTTGTTCTACTTCAGAACAGCATATGTGAACGTTTCAAGCATAAACCTTTCGCGTGAAAATCATATGATAAAAGCCGACGAATCGTACTTCCAAAGTAGTCGTTCCTACGATTAGGAAAAACTATCAAGGAAGCTGTAGACAGGCATACACAAAATCAATGCAGAACCTCGTACACAAATAAATCGGTCGCCACACTTCAAGATAGTATACATATGCCATATGGGTACATAAAGCGATATCAGAATAAAAAAAGCGAATAGTAGGAAAAGGAATTCGTAGATTAAAAAGTAAAAGTTCAAGCCTTAGAAGACGCCAAAGAACGAATATGTCTGCACTATTATGATGGATTTTCAGTTATTTCATTAACAGTCTCCAACCAATGGTTTCTAAAGTCTCAAGCACCCTAAAAAGAAAGTCTACACCTTCCGACACGGCTCACATCAATTGTCAGAGGCTTTAGGGACTGATGCCACGTCTTCATTTGGCAAACCTGAACCTTCTAAACTGAAGCAACTTCCCTTACCACCACACATCGAAGTGGGTAGGGCTTTGGAATGTGCAACACATGTGGCCTACCAAGACAATGTCAACTAGATGCCTTTCAGGGAGTACGCCTATCCCTATGCAATTAGAAGTGCCCCAAGTTATGTGTATAGTGCATCTGTAACGAAACTAAGCAGGAACAGTGATAACGGGCATCTCTGGTGAACACTTGGTTGTCATCAGTTCAGATGGCAACTCTCCACAAGCCGTTACACGGATGTAAGACTTTGAGTAGAAAGCTTTGACTAGCGTCACATTCTTGCTCGGTAATCTTTTCACAGTCAGATACTCCCACAACACCTCTCAGTCAACAGCCGAGTCTGCTGTTATCGAGCCCCGGTTAGGCACCAGATAACTATTACAACCTAGAATCTTGGATATGAAGGTAGTTAAACTGGTGAATACAAAACCTTTTCTTTCTTATAAAGTGAAACAGTAAGTAAAGTAGACGAAGCTGATGCGACTAGCTCTGATTTCCATACGCTACCCCGCATTTCTCTTACTTTACTCAGCATTTTATTACCTCCTTCCTGAATAACGTCCGATGGCAAGGCGTCAGGTCCCGCTACTTTGCATCGCTTCAGGTTTGAAACAACTTCCTCAACTTCAAGTAGAGTTGAAGGACCAACATCTTTGCAATATTCAGGTTGACTCGATGCTGGGGAACTGACGCGTTGTTATGGGCCAGTTGAACTGTGATTCAAAGTGTGGGATATGAAAACAACTTTGTCAACAGCCCTCACACTAAGCATGTTGTTTCAACATAATCGTCGCGTTACACGCGTTAGTTGGTCATTATCCAGGTTATAGCTATTTACCTAATACATGTGCCTTACTCCCTCTTATCTCAGACGTGGTTTTCCTTTCTCTTCCGGTGCTATCACCAGCTATAGGCCATTTCACATAACCTTGTTATCAAAAAAGTGGTCAGTAAACGCACAGCCATGCAGCTTCAGCACTCCTCGAAAAGTGGATGGGCTATTCATGATTATGAACCGAGATCTTCATGTTTTCCGATTTTATCAAAAGCATACTTCAGTGAATGCATATTTTAAACCAGTTGCCTAGTGTCATGGGATCTTTCACACCTCAGTCGTAAGTGCGAGTGATGAGATGAAATACATGTGTATAACAATGCCAACGCACATCCCACATGTCACAGCCAAAGGGGAACCAAGCTAAATTATTGGCGTGAAAAGTAGGTTATTTCACTTTAACCCGTATCAAAGCTTCATGGATAGCTTTACCTTCTGCTTCCTATAAAGCAACATAAGGACTTTTAGGTCCTCGATGGTAAGGATTCCACTCATGAAAAAACCTTTGAGTGTATAGCAGTTAGCAAACATCATCACATGAAATCATACCTTTCTACAATGCCAATCAGATTAGATGTAAATTTCCGCAAACCCATGACTTTAGTGTTCACAAGTACTTACTTCTCGAAAACAGTTACCATTATGAACAGGCAGCCCAACGCTCTTAAAAAGCCACGGTGCCGCAACATCACTTCATCGAAACTTCTAAGGAACGTCAAGTTCTTACTGTTTACAGTTCACGAAAGCTGTCCACCAACTTACACGCGTAAGGTGAGATGCTGAGATGTATTTAATGATATCCCTGGGACCTAATTAGTCTGCCTTTAAATCCAAGGAAGTGGGCAAGTGTGGTAGATTTGAAATTGATATTAACCTGAAATACAGACTTCTTAAGTGGTGTTGAATCCTTTTCGTATGATCCACTTGAAGTGTAGGAAGACGATACACTGCTGACGCCTAAATGTAAGTCAGGTGAAGATAACTGAAAATACTAACCACTATCCAGGGAATTGAAGAAAAGCAGTGTGGAATTTTTGTATAATCCCACTGAAATGGATCAAACTTGGACTCCTTTGGTGGTCACGTGCTTTTCACTGCAACAAGTAATGGAACATCCATTGTGAGGGCTACTGATACTACTTGGCTGCTAGACCTAGATGGGTGGAGGAGATTCAAACCCGCAACCCAATAGTTGAAAGTCAAATGTCTAGACCAAAGATGATTAGTTACTTTCTTTAAAAAACCGAGGTACCTGCCGAGTATTACCTAATCCCAACGTCTTCTTGATCTTCGCTCTTTCCAATCACCAATGCACGCGGTAACATTTCCGTGGACTCCAGTGAAGATGCTTTGTTAACGCTGAAGGCCTTAGAAAAGGTGCAGGGGATAGCAGTCGCTGGAACTTCCATATCTTCGACGATTACAGGCTGTGACTCGAATTTAAAGAAAAATTCCTCCAAAAGGTTCCTAACCACTTTGCGTTTAATAAAGAATTCATATAAGCCTATGGAATTCACTGAAAATGAGGATTCACCCCCCAATAATAGAAAGCACGCTTCCCATTCGAACAGCTGGAATATAAGTGTTGCACTCAAGTATGCTGCACCGAAGTCATTAAAAGCACTGCATAGACATCTTAGCACACAATGTGTGACCAGTACACTGGCGTCGCAAGTTCTTATTGACGTAATGTATTTCAGATATTTAACTATAACTCACGTTCATAGGATGGCGAAAAAGGTGTCATCTACCACCATTCAAAATGTCTCTGCAAAGACAGGTAATCAATCTTACACAACACTTTTTAGTGTCGCAGGTTTAAGTCAATACCAATGTTGGGACAAATTCTAAGACAATGTGGTGGTCACGAGGCTTTCTCGATAGGTAATTCGGCCGCCATCACAGTGGTTGAAAGCAAAGTAAGTGGAACAGGCTTTAAGGATGCTTGAAAGTCAAAACTGGATTTCTAACGATTTAATAGCATCAAATGTGTTCCGAAACATTGTATCTCATTACCGCCTCCATGAAAAATGTCATGTACGGTGTCTTTGATATGGAATGGATGAAGTAACTGTGGTAGGTGGGTACGCGGGAAAAGTAAGAGGTACAAAACATACGGGTAAGAATAAGAGCAGAAACGTAGTGAGGCATCATTGCTTTAAAAACTTCTTACCAGGAGCAATTAATAGTTACACAGTTCCCCTATCTGACCGACCTGACGTAAGTAAAAAGCAATTTAATCTTAGTTCCACAACACACGCAACCATTTAGGAGGTGGAGAGATTAACTTCAATGTAGGTAATAAATGCCGTTTGTCAACCCGTAGGTAGACAAACAGAACAGACAGGACGATATCGCGTGTGACAACAAAATGAGCTGGAACAGATAGTAATGACACAATCAAATAGTTGGGAATATTTCTCAAGTAAATTTTATCTGACATAAAACTGCATAGACTTTTACGTCCATACTTTCTTAGTAGCCTTGAACCAATCATTGCATAGTAATAACTGGGATATCTTATCTGATGTAGACTTAGGACAAATTTTCGGACACAATGCGAGCTTTCAACCGCTGAATGACGCAAAAATGCAAAACCAGCTTGCCTCTTATACAACAGAGACATCAAAATAGAAGGGAGATACAAAACAACACAACTCACAATAACACCCATCAACAGCCCTCACTTAAACACCGCGCTTGCGAACGGTGGTTGTCTTACCCGCTCAAATGTGAGATAAAAATTTTCGAAATTCAATACGTCCAATACACTTTGGGCGAGCGAGTTTAAACCTGTTGTTTTCTTCATGAGCGCTTCCGAGTCTTATGGAACATTTCCAGATCACTGGTGAATTCTACTGCACTATACTTACTGACTCATCTTCTTTAGCTTTGGTTAACCCGACGGCCAATTAGTTGTTGGTTAAATTTGCATAGAGGTGTGTCCAATAACCAACATCGATGGTGTGAGTGGAGGGACCTGACACCTTGTGATCACTTGCATCCAGTTCTTGGGGCCTAGTCCTCGTTTTTCAGTTTGCCCCTGCAGTGGAAAAGGAGATCTTTTCTGCTTTCCTGCTTTTAGCTCTGATGAAGTGGAGGTTTTTGTGAGTTGGTGATTGTTACTTATCGACCGATTACAGAGCAAGGCGTTACCGGGAAGGCCAGAGGTCTTTCGTGACGCTCGTCTGTAAGTGTCCCTAGACAGGGACAGCAAGATTGTGGGAAAAGTATCCAGGACATAAGCGAAATTTAAAACAATTAGTTCCCATTATAAAAATAATGAGACATCTTCCTGTGGTTTTGCCGAAACACGCGAAGGGTAAATGTGGGCGGTATGGGCCTGAACATCAATGAGGAGCTAACAGATAATGTAGGTGTATCGGCTGGAGAGACTGTGAGCGGCAAGTGAGAAGGAAGTAGTGGTGGGGTGGTGAGGATAGTAGTACCATCAGCACGTTTGTGGTAAAACGAGCGAAACGAGGTGACTTCATAACTGCCGTATTGGCCTGGTGAGAGGGCCGTTAATACGTTCGGCAGTAAGATACACAAAGCCTATACTCTTAAGGGGTAGACATAAGACCTGACTCAGTTGTTAGCTTTCTGATGTGCTATCCTACCGCGGACCCCCGGTGATGACCACCACACTGCAGACAGCGTTAAGTTGTTCGCGTGACCTATGCGATAGATGATCTTCTTGGCAGTACTACGACCACATCTCTTTCTGCGATTGCCCAAAGGCGATTCGGTCTAATAGAGCATGCCTTCAACCTTATTCAAGCGGCCGATTTTGTGTTTGGTTCGTCCTAGGAATGCGCTACACATTGGTGCGCAGCCAGACAGTTGTCCAAACTGGTCGTAAACTGAGGGTATAAATGACGAGATAACCATGGATAGCGAAAAAGAGAAAACGACGAAACCATTTGAAAAGAGGCAGGATAAACAGAACGGAAGACCCTCGGCATTTTCAGGGAAGATGGGGGCAAACAGCGACATGGATAACCTTGATCAATAGGCTGAAACCACAGGACCGGTGAGGGAAAAGGAGAGCATAAGATAATGGTAGGGGTAGTGGGAGTAGAAACAGTAGTAGTACCAGCAGGAGTGTGGTAACCATATCGATAAAGCATCTAGTGGGGGAATATGCCTTTTCTAGGATCCGAAACAGAATTCCAATAATCTCTGTTATTCTCTACAGTTGATAGTGACACAAATATTCAAGCGGTCTCTGACAATATTTAAGTTGTGAACGCCGTGCCACAGATAAGAGTTTCGCTAGCTCAGAATACTGTGAGAGAAATGAATTTTCAGGTTTGCAGGACTTGATCGTATTTTGCCAAATATTTTCGAGTGTTCTCTCGGGAAAATAGCTAAAGTGTAGAGCAAGTGGTAATACATGTTAACCCCTAAGCTAATAACCTGACATACGACGTCTTAACATGAGATCACCAACATCCTACGGTAGGACAGTGGAGGAAAACTTTATCCATTCGGTCTTTTTTCTTACGAACGGCTGCAGAGTCCTTTGACAATCATGGTTCTTACACTTTGGGTTGAACTTAATATCTCAGCAGCAAATATTGAACATAGATCGAGCACTTGAATTCCGTACTGCAAGTGGTGTTCTGCACTTTTCGTTCATAAAATCCTAAAAATATCTTTGCCAATGCTTTGGAAGACCTAGGGGAAAAGTCACAAGGCTCCTTAACCGGCTTAATTTGTGTTCTTAAATTCGTTTCTGGCCATGACGTTTGATTTCTCTAAGTTGCTTTGATCAGAACCTTTTCACTGGTAACGCAGCTAGCAAGGCTGACAGTCGAAACCTTTTCATATGGTTAGGATCTTAGCTTTGTCAGTGTCTAGGGGCCGTCTTTTATTCTGGGCTTCCAAGTTACCTTGCAAAAGGAAACTGTCTCCGCCTGCTTGGATAGCCCTCAGCAGTCTAACACTGTTTTCAAACATGAGCAAAGAAGACTCGTGCTTACAACTCAACTCGCTCATGAAAAGCCGGAAGAGAGGTGGACTTTAAAGGACTTCTCTTCACCAGTTCTCAAGAGGACGAAACACCGCTTACATTTACTTCCTGTCTCCTCATACAAAAGAAGTCTTTTGCCGGGCCAATAGCAACGCAACCGATCCTAAGCTTCTCGGGCTTCAACTTTAGATGAGAGATCTTTACAAAGCTTCGATGAAGTCGATGAAAATCCCACCCCTCAGAACATTCACATCCTCAGACTGTGGGATTTGTTAAACATGAGTGACCGAACCCAAACTATGCTGTTCAAGAGCTTCAAACTTGTCGCTCTCAGCATCCGTGAAAATGGAGATTCGGAAAATCATTTCCGAAAGCTTCCCACTAAAGTTGTCAAGTGAATGGATTGATAACTGTCCACTGGATTCATATGGTCGGTTATGCACACCGAACTGAAGTGGTATCCTTCTGCTCTATGAGTAATATAGACTGCTTCAGAGATGCGATGATTTGTTGAAACAGCTTCTTGGAGTTCATATCAGCTGTTGCCGTCATTATGCTGGGATGGAGCCAACATGGACTTCAAGAAGTATCAACCTTAATGTTCTCCAGTAGCCCCAGAAAAACCTGCTTTTTATGAGTTCTAGTCCCATTCTTGGAATGGCACCAATGAAGACAGTTTCACTACTACGGGCGTAAACTGTGTTACTGTAGTAGAATGTAATTCTATATTAGATTTGTTTATTTGATACAGAACACAGTGACGCAGTATTCGATGCTTGAAAACCCAGTGACTACAAATCATTGCTCACAATCACGTTAACGCAATCACACGGGCGTCGGTATCGGTTCGTATGGCCCTCCCAGCTCATATCCTTCGTTTTCGGTGGCGTTGAGATATTCCAAACCCCCGGAATGCAGTATAGAAATCGGGCTGTATTTTATGGACTATGACGTTTGATCTGTGTCGAAAATAACTAATGTCTCTGTGACTGCCGGCCGGTTTGGTTAAGATTGATTCGCGAAAACTCTTGGCTTATGGAACTCAGCGAGGGTAAAAAGCACTGGCGCATCAGACCCATGCAGCTATTTTCTACACGACTAGTCCATAAGGTCTCAGGATCATTCTTCTCCGAGATACATACCAGAAAGCTCAAATATTTTGAGCTTACCCATCCATCGTTCACTCTGGGCTTTGTTTCAACCAGCACTTGCATTCTCTTCACTGTCTCCAAACTTCGTCAATCGTAATACTCAGACTGGGGTGGACGATTTTGAAGGCTGTAGAAAATAGGTCATTCCAACGGCCTCCAGAATTTAATGCAACACTGGGGATCTGAAATTGACGAGAATCGCTGTGGCTTAGAACCCCGCATGCAACTCACTTAGTTCTCTAATGTTCATCCGAGAGTTTTTTCAGTAAGAGGTGGCTAATAAAGGCCTGAACCGTATCTACGTTATGAGGACGTCATGAAGCAGGATCTGGCTTCTCTTACCCATCCCAATAGCACAAAGCCAAGCCGCGCACTCCTTCATCTCTTTTACTGATACGGTTGCTTATGCGCTTGTTAAGGCCACTTGGGATTCCCTGGCTGCTTCTTCCATTGACACCACCATTTTCCCACATTTAGTTGTTGAACATTATTGGGGTTGCTGCGATTGCACTTTTAGCCGAAATTCTCTCACTCTTCTCCCGTGATCACACGCTCCCTAGACTTACAAACCTGCCGAATAGCTTCATCAAGGTTATGAGGAGCTTTCTAAGCAACCTTTGATCCCTTTGTGGGTCCTTCATAATGTGACACACGTCAACTGCCTTTTGTGCCTCTGCGTTCAACGTGACTACCTTGTCTGACCACCGCGAAGAGGATTAGAACTTCGCTCGTTTTCTAGCCAGAAGCAACCATTTTCACTTAAATGTGGATCCATTTACGCCACGCTCCATCAACTTTGTTCTTGTGCTTGACATCATATTCAAATAGCGTGATCTGCCTGGCAGTATCACTGATCATCCCCTTCGTAACACAACCCCTGTGTGTCCGGCACCAGTGTTCATCATTCAGTCACGCAGTATATACTACTTGGCTTGGGCGATAGCTATCTTCATAAGATGTTACCATCACTGTCATATTTGCAACCCTCACGAATACAAACAACTACCCTCCTGCTTTCCCCTCATCCGAATGATAAAATATGATTACTGCCCGGGGAAAACCGATGATATACAGAAGCGTTATCATAACTATGGTCAATATAGAAGCAGAACCTTCTCCTTAATACTCATTGAAATTAATAGTCTGCATTACCACAAAGCGCACTCCTTCTTTTCCGACGAAACCCCACATGCGCAATGCACGGGGCTTCCATGTTCCTGTGTGCCTCATTCTACAAAGAAGATGTCTGCACCCATGTCTACCTTGAGCCCCCCCCAGCCTGTTACGTATCCCGACGCTTAAGCCGACTGGAACTTCCGGGGCATATTACAACCCATTAGTTCAGCCTCGCTAATCGTTAACGCAGAGAGGTGGGAAGGCTAAATAATGAGTAATCACAGGATACAAGCACAGTAAAATATATACAAAGGAAGAGTAAGGCCAAAAAACTTTTTTCAATTACTTGTTCGTGCCCAACACGTTAAGACGAGAACACCATCAATACCAGCTGGGTGATCCGTGAGTGGGCGGTGGCTGGGAGACTGTTTGGGTTGTACTATAACTTGTCACGATGGCCCGGCTCACACAAATGACAAGCACGGGTGCGGT